CTGAAACCAGGGACTGGCTTTCCTTCCCTGGTGATAGCTCTAGACGTCCTCCACCTTCTCCCCTGGACTCATCTTGCCTTGCCCACAGGGTTGTAATTTCTTACGCGTTTGTTTTCCAGCACTAATCCAAGGGCTTGTGCTCCAGATGCTCTTACAGCCTTTCTTTGCTCCCCTCCTGCAAGTCCAACATCCCTGTCACGCAGAGCAGCCCAAAAAAGGGGACCTGCTGCCCCAGACCTCTTCGCTGCAGCGGGAGCCTTGACACTTGGGAGCCATCCACGTGGCATGCAGGCTGTGACTCCCCTCCCCGGACCCTGGCCACCTCCGTGGCCTGGATGGAGCCAAAAGAGCCACGGGGCTCCTGGCGTGCCAGCGGAGCTCGGTGTTGTCCCCTGGGACCCGCTGCTGCCCCAGGGGCACACGCAGTAGCTTCCCACCAGGCAGGTGACACCACAAGGTGTCCTGCAGGAACTTGCGGTGTTATTTTATTTTTTTTTTTGCCTGTCTCTGTGCTTTTTGCAGGGTGAAAAGGAGGAAGATGGCTGACAAGGTCCTGCCGCAGAGGGTGAGCGCTGCCTCGGTGTGTGGGAAGGAGCTGAGCTGCTGGAGGGAGGTGGTGCATCCACGCTGCCTTCCCCGGGCAGCGGGGTGATGAGGTCCCCGTGAGGAGGAGGAGGATCTCGCTGAGCTGCCTCCTGCCCGCTCAGCCTTTCTGCTCAGTCCCAAACCGACCTGGAATGTTTCTGTCTCTTCCTTGCGGGTGGCAGGAAGGGTTTGGAGTGTGTTCAGATTGGACAAGCAGGACTTTGAGCAAGCAAGGAGCAGCGTTGGCTTGGGGTGGAGACCCCAGGAGAACCCCAAACCTCTCCTGGGGGGTCCCTCTTGACAATCCATTAGCTGCCCATGACACCAGGCAGGCTGCTGGGCATGGTGCCAGGCTCCAAACTGAGCTCTGCAGTTCAGCTCTGGGATTTGGGGCCGTAGTCTTCATCGAAAATGAGAAATGGGTGACTCCTTGGTGTGTCAGCCCAGCACTGGTAGTGTTGTTGGGGCCGGTGCGTGGGGCACAGCCCCATCCCAGCACACAAGGGACTGACCATTTCCATTTGACAGATCCGGGAACTGGTTCCAGAATCCCAGGCCTACATGGACCTCCTCGCCTTTGAGCGCAAGCTGGACCAAACCATCGCTCGGAAGAGGATGGAGATTCAGGAGGCCATTAAGAAACCGCTGACGGTGCGTGGCAGCCCTGGCTGGGGAGGGGGTGCTACAAGGTGGGTGCGGCCGTGGGTGCTGCCAGCCACCCCTCTCGCTCCAAGCATCCCCCCCTCTGTTTTCCTATTCCACAGCAAAAGCGGAAGCTGAGGATTTACATCTCCAACACTTTCACCCCAGCTAAAGAAGAAGGGGAGGGTGGTGAGCGCGTGGCCTCCTGGGAGCTACGTGTGGAGGGCAAACTGCTGGAGGACGTAAGGATGCAGGCAGGGATGAACTGGTGGTGGGAGGAGAACTGGTGCTCTGTGCTGGGAGCTGGGCTGGGGTGGACGCGGCCCTCTGCTCCCTGGGTGCCGGAGGGGGTTTGGGCTGGGACCCTCCGTGCCTGGCACTGTCAGGCCAAGTCTCTCCTGCTCTGTCCCACAGCCGAGTAAGCAGAAGAGGAAGTTCTCCTCCTTTTTCAAGAGCCTTGTCATCGAGCTGGACAAAGAGCTGTACGGGCCGGACAACCACCTGGTGGAGGTGAGACGGGAGACTCCCGGCTCCGCGCCCCGGGCAGCGTGGGGAGAGCCGTTATGGGGGGGGGGAGACGGCCCTGCCGCTCGCTCCGTGGGCACTCAGCTCCCCAGCGTGTCCCGCTGCCAGAGGGGGTTGGGCAGGGTGCTTTTGGGTGCTGGGGGCTGGTGCTGAGCCCTCCCTGGGGATCACGCTGCCGTGCTCACCAGGCTCGAGTTCATGGCTGTGTTTTCCTCCCTGGTGCTGGCTGGTGTGATGGCTGCTGGCAGCAACTGCTGCCTGCTCGGCTCTTAACCCCCTCATGCCTGCTAGAGCTGAGGGTGTGGGGCCACAGGGAGGATGTGGCTCTGGGAGGCAGCTCTGAGCCCCACAGGTTTGCAGAAGTGGGGCCCAGCGCAGGGGATGGTGCTGCAGGAAGGCTCGTCTGGACGTCCCAGCACCGGGGGAAGAAGGGTCTTGTTCAACATATTCATCGATGATTTGGATGAGGGAATAGAGTGCATGGTCAGCCAGTTTGCTGATGACACTAAACTGGGAGGAGTGGCTGGGAAAA